AGTCAGGATCTACAGAGCAATTATCCTCCCTATTATGACATATGGAGTAGAATCCTGATGATCGTGATGACTTGGGGGTTAACCCCCTCCCATTGGTATTTTATGTGTGTAAACACCCCCCCCCCCCCTTTGGATTTTTTTTTTAACTAAAAAAAAAAAAAAAAAAAAAATTGTTCCCACAGCTGACCTAAAAAGGTGACCTAACCTCCCCCCAACGGAGCCAAATGTCAATTTTTTAAAATTTCCAGACCCCCCCCCCCAGAAAAAAGTGTCCTCTTACCCCCCCCCCCCCCCCCCCCCCTCCCGCTTATTAAGCGGTCGGCTGAGTCGTTGCGATTTTTTCGGCCCGATCTATGAATTTTAACCCCCCCCCTTGAAAAATCCTGCGTACGCGCCTGGCTACTATATACGCGTGACATTATATTTACCCCCCTGCGCATGGGCGAGCTTCTCGGCCCACGTTCCCTTCCAAATCACACGACGGGAATCAGGGGGCAATTTCCGTGAATCCCTGTCGGCGTGAAAACGGCAACGTGGGTGCAGTTCCCTCGAAATCCCTGTTATTATCATTCTACCATTTTTCTTTTTATCTTTCCTTTCATGTTAATCTTTTTTTTCTTCTATCACCTTTTCTTATGTTATTCTTTGTTCTTATTATTCTATTAATTCCTCTTCCTTTCTTTCCTTACGCTTCCCTTTTTTCTTTCTTCTATCATGTTCTCTTTCAGTCTTTCCTGATGTTGTTCTTTATTTCTTCCTTCTATCAACTTCTCTCATGTTATTCTTTTTTTTTATCATTCTATCACTTTCTCATTCTGTCTTTCCTGATAAAGTATTTCTTTTATTTCTTCCTTCTACCACCTTCTCTTATGTTATTCTTTGTTTTTATCGTTCTATCACTTTCTCTTTTTCTTTCCTTATGTTATTCTTTGTTTCTTCCTTCTATCACCTTCTCTTATGTTATTCTTTGTTTTTATCGTTCTATCACTTTCTCTTTTTTCTTTCCTTATGTTATTCTTTGTTTCTTCCTTCTATCACCTTCTCTTATGTTATTCTTTGTTGTTATCATTCTATCACTTTCTCTTTCCCTCATCCTCATATCATTCTTCTTATCAGATTTTCGCGCACTGTGAATTTAGTACCTGATTTAGTCACCTGATCACAAACATTGGTCACGCGACCGACAAAAGCACCGTCGTGAAAAATTGAAAGCACTGCCGCGAAGGAAATAGTCCAGATTCAGTCCGTTCTTTGTTTTTATTCTTCTTTCACACGCATCGATCCCACAAACAGCGCGGTCTCTCCACCACGGAAGCTTAAAAGTGCCACCGAGATGACGAGATAATGAATTCTGCGTTCTTTTTGTTTTCTCGGGTACGAGATGGTGAGAAAGCGAAATTCCCAATCTCGCTTTCTCGACTTCTCGGGTACGAGATGGTGAGAAAGCGAGATTCCAAATTTCGTCTTCTCGACTTCTTGGGTACAAAAAGGTGAGAAAGCGAAATTCCAAATCTCGTCTTCTAGACTGCTCGGGTACGGGAAGGTGAGCAAGCGAGATTCCAAATCGTTTGTAGAAAATAGCTTTATCCGTAGCCATATCGAGGCACCAAGAAGCTCTTCAATTTCAGCCAATGAAGAGTTTCAAGATTTTTACTTTTCCATGCATTATACCTCGTAATGTGAATACAGAGAAAGACATATTGTTTAGTTGTATAAATAAATATTTAAGCCTATGAAATATAAACACTATCGATTTTCAATATCTAAAATATTATAGAACTCAAAGAGTAAATCAAAATTTTAAAGTGCCCCCTCCCTATTCCTCTCCGGGCAATAACTTGGTTCGTGGTCCGGTCCAACTCAGTGTGTTTCTGGTGTTAGGAAAGTTTCAGGAAATCTAGATTGTGGATGAATAAAGTTAGATTCATTATTTATATTAATCGTGATGCGCCAAATCGAATGACCAAATAGCGAAAGAAGCACATTGTTCATTAATTTTAATGAAACATACGTAGATTTTAACGAAAATTCCATAAATTTGAATTCTAGAAAAAGGAATATAAACCAGAAATAAATTTGACTGCACTAAAACCGTCGAATTTGAACGCAAGACAAATTAATTTGAATGACAAATTCGCGAACTCTTTACTCTAAAATTACTTAAACCTATTTTTAATTTTGTTATAATGTACATGTGATATCGCTGTAGAACATACATTTTTATAATTCATGTCATGTATTTATGTTATAATGACATTGTCATTGTACATTTATATATCTATAGTTTCAATGTTTCAATTTTTCAATGGTGTTGAATAAATAAATTCAATTCAATTCGATCACCAACCCTTTCCAGAGCTCTTATTACGTAAAAAGGATTCATTTTCAATTTTTTTTCATTTCGTTTATTTCCATTTCCAACAAAATAAGGATTCCATCGTGTAACCCTGGAAACTCGACCTCCATAGATAAAAAAAAAATAATCAGATGATATAAGCCTTGACAAAACATATTTAGATGATGATTTTTTTTCCCCAAAGGCTATGGAAGCATGCATTTGCTTGTAAATAAGCAACCAGGGGACCGACAATTTTTAATCCTCTCCGATAGACTTGGTAATGAGGAGTTATGCTTGACCTCAGGGCGATACTGCATAATTGCCATGGTTTGGAGCCCGGGAGCTTCCGGTTACAATACCACTGCTGTAACAGCTAGTGAGCCACCTATATTGATCACTTTATTGTTCTTGCTTTACAGGCATTTATTATGACGTAAATGAATCTACATGTACACATACCGGAGTGTTGGCTCAGTCAGTAGAGCGTCCGCCTAACAACCGGGAGGTCGTGGGTTCGAACCCCGGCCGCGTCATACCAAAAGACGTTAAAAGATGGGAGTTGTTGCTACCTTGTTTGGCGTTCAACAATAAGGGATAGAGCAACGTCGATCTGGCGCTGCTCAGTGACTGCCGGGCTCACGATCAATTGGGCAAAAAGAATTTCCGTTTCGATTTAATAAAATTTGGAGTGGACTATTAGGCTATTATTATATTATATTATTATTACATCAAATGCTTTATCAATTCGATGTTATTGCAGTGTCTCTTTCTCCCAAATGTGGTACCAACTCGATTTATTGACAAATTGACTACATCCAAAAAAATATTCTTATTATTTAATACAAAAACAATCGATATGTTTGCCGCATTTTATGGACAATGCGAACTTGAAGAAAACAAAAAGTGAATATTTCAATCATTACTAAATACGATATCGCCAAACAAACATGCAATTTCTCGTTTAACTGAATGTTTGGAAAAGTTTACACATGTTAAAATATATTATTTAGGGTGCTCATTAGAATCATTCTCACGGTATGGAACAGCGCCAGGTTACAACCGAAATAAAACGTCTGTAATGTATTAGGAGAACGTCGACACACATCGGTGTAATGTTTATAACAGTCAGTATGCTCATCCTTCCCTGCGTGTTAATTTCAATTTGACAAGACTGAACAAAGAATTCAGGTTGTGGTTATGGGTACTACCATTTATCAAATTTTCATTCGAATTGGCGATTTTTAGCTCGGGTCTGAACTTTGATTTACACAATCTACTTTGACGAAGGTTATGAATTCTGAGACCACTTCCCCACATTCTTTCACAATGTATTTAATTTTTTTTTTATTGTTATCGTCTAATATAGATTTTTTTTATAAAGTTCCCATTGTTAATATTTGAACAAAAGAGCGATATAATTTCTAATACCTGTGACACATACACACCGAAACTTTTGGTCACCAGGCGTTTGGATGACTTGGATAGGATTATTGGTTGTCAAATTGGCAACGTGGCATAGTGGACTAGGGCCTTGACAATGGTTCGTGAGCCAGATGAGTGGCCAGCTTGATATGTTAGCTGATCGTAGCTAAGCAAAATTTGAGGTACAAAAGCAGATGACACTTATCAAATCTTGTATAAATATTGTGTGTTGCAATTAAATACATGTATGTAATATTCTTAATTTCATATACATTTTAATAAACCTAAAAACCTCATACTAATTCTTCATGCGAGCCTGTTTTGAAATGTTTGACAAAGTTATTAGTATACTAATCTGAAGATAATTGTTAAAACCGCTATAAAAAAAGGATTAGCTAGAACTTTGTTCTTAGAGTCATATCAGGCTACAATATTTGTACAGAAGGAACAAGATAGAGAGAGAGAAAGAGAAGAGAGAGAGAGAGAGAGAGAGAGGGGAAATAAATGCATTGGGTAGGTTCGAAAATGTGAAAGAGAGCAGGGGTATGTAAAAATCATACTGGCGAAACATTGGTATCAAGGGGGATTATAATTTCTTAATCAATGAAATAGAAATTAATAAACAGGTTAACCACTGGGCTACGGCAAAGGGTCCTGTCATCTGTATTTGTTGTTTTCACCTGTCCCTTCAATTTCATCTCTCTCTATATATCTCCCCGCCCTTCCCCCTTCCCTCTCTCTCTCTCTCTCTCTCTCTTCCTCCCTCCCCCTCCTACTCTTCCTTCTATCTGTTGGTCTCTCCCATGAAAAAAAAACAAACAGATGGATTCACAGAGCGTTATTTTTGGCGCATTGCACACCAGGGAGGGGGGGGGGGTACCCATATTTGCAAAGCGATAACCCTTCCCTGAACATGAGCTGCTACCCCTGCTACCCTCTTGTACCTCTGCACCTCTTTCTGTCTCGGCCCCTAGATATTACATTAATTATGCTTTGATTGATGAACGCTAATATTTGTACAAATGGATTATCATTAACCGCATGGTTACTCATGTCACAGATCTTTTTGAAAAGATATTCTTCGGTTGATTAAATTCGAGTGCACACTATGCCGAATGTGTATTTCTTCACACCCCCTCTCTCGTTTATACCGAACCATCCTTTACAAACTATGTTTACTTGTTTGCGCAAATAACTTCTTTATCGAACGGAAACATGATCCTGTACGTGCGTGTATGGAATGTTGAGGTAATTATGCCATAATGTATTATAGTGTATTGGTGCATTAGTGTATAAGGAATTGTAGGTGGAGCAGTCTACAATGTAAGCTACCCCCCCCCCCTTCCTCATCAGACAATAGCCTTACTTTCCCGCCTTTTTGGGGGTACCTGTATTGCCCAATGTACTGATACCCTATAGGCATGATTGGGGATCCTATTGTAAGTTTTAGTGGATGAGTGATTTTCTTTTGTTCGGGGTCTGTGCACCCAGAGCTGCTATAGCAGGGACAGAGAGACATTGTAGATTGGAGAGAGAGGAGAGAAGCACTAATTTGTGCCTGCTAATGGAGATTGTTATTTACTTCTGGCAGATCACAATTCATGTAAGTTGATTTATACTGTTGGAACTGATGATTATTATATATATTTCATATTATTAATGGATGTCACATTTTATGAATTGCTGAAGATAAGATAGTGAAAGTTGAGGATTGTTGAACCATGTTGTATGTACACTGATATAATGACACTTTATGATAAATGTGATTAACTTATTTCATTTGCATTACATGTATCATGCTTTATAAAGTAGATTATTATGCTTGAATTTCTGATAATGATGAAATGATAATTACTCTGACAAATTAAATTAATTTTAAGTTTGTCTTTATATAGATTGAAACATGTTTCTGTTAAACAAAGTCAATTAAAAGAATGACTACCAAAGAGGATTTATATATATATATATATTTGAATGTAATTACATTGTGTCATGCAGTTTTCACAAAGTCATTATTGTGAAGTAAGAATTGTTATTTTATTGTTGTTACCTTTAGGGCTGCATGTGGTGAAATCTCCTTATTTGATGAACTACACTTTCTACAATAAGGTGGAAGCTTTGTTTATGATCAGGGGTCGGACGACAGCATATAGCGTTAGTGTTGCTTCGTCGTTATAGTATTGGCCGGTGAGTGGAGTTTGGCTCTATTGTGTATAGATATATATATATGACCTAATATACATGCAATTGTAAACCGATTATTGCACGAAATGATGTAAAATGTACAATATTCTTCTGTCCTATATATGTTCTAATTAATTATGGCAACTATACTGCTACAGACAATTAAAACAGTTAAGCTACCTTTCATGATATTGCACATAATAAGAATTATTATTGAAAATTGAATAATGTATTAATTGATGACTCGTGTTGAGTTGGAAACTATTGCAATGTTTACACTTTAATTTGTTCTGTTTAATGGAAGAAAGCAAATGAAACCATGAATTGTTTGTTATTACATTTTGCTCCAGAGGCTTTATGCTAATTATATTTCGTTCAAATTTTGTTCTTGTACAGGGGCTGTGTTTTCTTTGGTGAATAAATGCAAGACTAAAGTTTACGTTGGACTCCCTAGCTGTTGTCATTTCTGAATCTCAACAATGGTGTCAGAAGTGGGATGACTGACGGCGAGGGACAACTGGACTGAGATCATCTGCACGGATACTGACCAACCTCCAACTTCTTGCGGCCGTGACGTCGTCGGCTGGCGATATTTGGTGTCAGCAACGTCCGGAGGCAAAAGTGAACATTGGACAGACAGTGAACATTCAACAGCCTCGGTCAGATACATTGTGACCATTAATGAATTTGAAGAACATGTTCATGTAATGATACACATGATTGATGATTTGTTCGTTTAAGTTTGCTTGTTGTGAAATATTATTGTTCCTGTTGAATTTCATAATTAACACATTTAAGTGCAGGAAAATGGCCCCTACATCTACGACAACAACTGTGACAACAACAACAACAACTACCACGTCGACAGCATCATCCACACGACCTACTATGACACCAAGGGAGCAACCTTCAGACATGGACATGCTGTCACAGTTCTTTCGTCGTTCCATTGGGCTACAGAGCATTCTCCAGAGCAACTTGCCCAAGTTTAGGGGAATACCACAACACGCAAACGACATTGCACTATCGGAATGGCTTGAGGAGTTCTATGAGATCACTGCTCAACACAACATGGAAATGGGCAGTAAGGCCAGACTTCTTGTAGATCACCTTGCAGGACCGGCAAGGGAGGAAATTATGTGCCTTAGTGAATCCCGAAGACGTGATTTTGATGAAGTTGTAGCATGTCTTAAACTATGTTTTGGCTACGAGGAAAATACACAGTCGTTGAGCAGCAAGTTCCATAACCGCGTACAGAGAGAAGGGGAATCGCTTTGTGACTTCAGCCGGGCCTTGATACGCCTATACATAAAGCTGGAGAAGGCAGCAATCACCCAAGCCCAAGGTGAAGCTTTGGCACAATTAAAAGACAAAGCTTTGAGTGACCAATTTGTAAATGGCGCACGTGAGGCTTGGGTCAGGAGGGAGTTGAGACGCATCCAATTAACTCATGGGCCCAGTGGGTTCAATAGGATGAGAGCAGAGGCACTCCAGCTTTTCCAGGAGTCTCCAACAGCTCAGCGTACCAGAATCAGAGAAGCGGACGTCGAGGTCGGACGGGTGGTCACATCAGATTCTGCACATCTTCTGCAACAGATGGTAGACCAACAGACAACTATTATGACTGAACTAGAACAGCTGAGAGGGGAGGTTACACGATTGAAAAATGCCAAACCTCAGAGAAGGAGGGTGAGTAGTGGATGTTTTCATTGTGGTCAGAAGGGACACTTTATAAGGGAGTGTCCCAACATGACACATATGCCTACCAACAATGTCACTTGTTCAGGGGAGAAGTTGCCCACTTAGGACACATCGTCAGCGAGAAGGGCGTGATGGTCGATCCAAGCAAGGTGGAGAGAATCAAGAGTTGGCCAACACCCCAGAATGGATCAGAGTTGAGGTCTTTCCTTGGCCTTGCGTCGTACTATCGGAGGTTTGTCCCTGACTTCACAAGACTGACAGCTCCTCTTCATGCACTAATCGGACAGAAGTCGCAAAAGAAGAGAAAGAGGAAGCCTGAGAAGACTATGCTGGATCCAAAGTTTGTGTGGACAGACAAAGCAGAAGAATCCTTTCAAAAACTGAAAGAAAGACTGTCCTCAACTCCAGTGCTAACCTATCCGAAGTTTGGAAAAGAGTTTGTTCTCGAGGTCGATGCTTCTCTCAAAGGACTAGGTGCCTGTCTATCACAGGCAGATGAAAACGGTCACCTTCACCCGATCTCATTCGCAAGCCGCAGTCTACGTGGAGCTGAAAATAACTACCCGGACTTCTCCAGCTTCAAGATTGAACTGTTAGCACTGAAATGGGCGGTGGTAGAGAAGTTCAAAGGATATCTGATAGGTTCAAAGTGTACCGTCTACACAGACAACAACCCGTTGGCCCATCTTCAAACCGCCCAACTGGGGGCAACTGAACAACGATGGGTAGCCCAGCTAGCACCCTTTCAGCTAGACATCAGATTTCGCCCTGGCAAGCTCAATAAATGTGCTGATGCTCTCAGCCGCTGTCCTGGCAATGATGAACAAGAGGTGAGAGAGATGATCGGTGCTCTGACAGTAACTACTGTCTTACCAGTGGAAGTTACAGTAAACAGTGATCAGGGGCCAGAAGAAGCACCTCGGGCAGCTCCTGAAGTATACCCATCATATTCCACAGAGAAACTTGAGATTCTGCAGCAGCAAGATGATGCACTGTCAGCTTGCAGACAATACATAAGAGATGGATGGAAGCCAGAGGATGAAATGAAAAGCGAGAACAGAGAGAGAAAGTCCTGGATGAAAGAACGCATGTACCTCAAAGACTGTGGAGGGGTATTGTACAGACGACCACCAGATTCCAAACATCCACAGAGAAGACAGTTGTTAGTTCCCAAAGGCCTCCAAGAGAAGATGCTACAGATGGCTCATGACCAATGGGGCCATCAAGGGATAAACAGAACCATAGCAATCCTGCGAGAAAGATGTTTCTGGCCAGGAATGTGTAATGATGTGAGAGCACACATCAAGAAGTGCTTTGCCTGCATTGCAGCTAAGACGCCAACACCGACAATACGAACTCCAAGACGACACTTGCTGGCATTCAAGCCCCTAGAACTGATCGCAATCGATTTTCTGAAATTGGATAAGGGTCAAGGTGGATACGAGGATGTCTTGGTAATCACTGATGCATTCACCAAGTTTGCACGAGCAATCCCCTGCAAGAACCAGACTGCAGCAGTTGTTGCACGTGCCTTAATCGATGGTTGGATAGTCCACTACGGTGCTCCACTACGTATCCACTCCGATCAAGGACGAAATTTCGAGAGCTCTCTTGTCCGAGAATTATGCAAACTGTACGGAATTGAGAAGACACACACCACACCGTACTATCCACAAGGCAATGGACAAACGGAAAGGTTCAACCGAACGTTATGCAGCATGATTCGTTCCCTTGAGCCAGATCGTCGGAGAAAGTGGCCTGGGCTGATCCACCAGCTGGTTTTCCTATACAACTGCACCCCTCATGGAACAACAGGGCTATCGCCATACCGTCTCCTGTATGGGAGAGAGCCGCACACACCAATCGACCAGCTAATTGGGAATAGCGAAGCAGACTGGAATGAGGACTTTCTTACAGAGCATTCGAAGTCGCTACAACATGCTCATACGGTTGCTAAGCAAAACATGGAAGCGATCTTGAGAAGTGAAAAGATCAGACATGATGCTCTACCAATGAGTTCCACACTAAGCATTGGCACCCGGGTACTGATCAAGAAGTGCGCGTTTGAGGGTCGACACAAGCTTGACGACAAAGTGTTGAGAGATCCCTTCATAATCACCGCGGTAAATGACACGGGTGACGTTTACAAAATTCGACCAATGTTAGGAGGACCAACCAAAGTAGTGAACAGAAGGTTGCTGATTCCAGACCCACGTGAAGAGATGCCAGTTCATATTGTTCAGGAAAGCAGAAGTGACCATACCACGTCACAACACCCCTCGACTCGTTCTATAGAAGAGAACACCCCCTCTTTCACTTTCTTGTGGGATCGACCGATGAATATTCCAGGGGATCAGAACAACCTGCGAGTAGACATTCGTGACGATGAATATATTCCAGATGAGGGAAATGACCACGACGGAGCAAATGTTGAGAATGAAGAAAATGGTACGGATGACGTTCTCAATCTGAGCGGAGATATAGTACCTGATGAGATAGACAACTCTCAACTTGAGAACCCCAGTCCCGAGGTACCGCGTAGGAGGTCTAATCGAGTAACTAAAGGCCAGCATAGAAATCCACTGCGGCTTCCAATATCGGCGTTACAAGAGTAAAAAAAAAAGAAGAGAGTTTTGAATTTGAAGACAAGAATTAAATATTTACTTGTCAGATTAAGATGTGATGTGTTATTAATGCTATGCATAATGTTTTAAAGAACATTGTTTTGTATTTTCATATACTACTGAAAAACATTTTGGTCAAACATTATGACATTAATTGCGGGGAAGTGTATTATAGAAAGATTTTCATTGCTTATATTTTCATGTATCGCTAAAATCTCGGTCAAACAGTATGACATTAATTGCGGGGAAAGGTGACGATTTGGAATTTCGCTCGTAATAATGTATCATTTTTATCAAACATTATGACATTAATTGCGGGGAATATGTTGTAATATGGAATGTTGAGGTAATTATGCCATAATGTATTATAGTGTATTGGTGCATTAGTGTATAAGGAATTGTAGGTGGAGCAGTCTACAATGTAAGCTACCCCCCCCCCCTTCCTCATCAGACAATAGCCTTACTTTCCCGCCTTTTTGGGGGTACCTGTATTGCCCAATGTACTGATACCCTATAGGCATGATTGGGGATCCTATTGTAAGTTTTAGTGGATGAGTGATTTTCTTTTGTTCGGGGTCTGTGCACCCAGAGCTGCTATAGCAGGGACAGAGAGACATTGTAGATTGGAGAGAGAGGAGAGAAGCACTAATTTGTGCCTGCTAATGGAGATTGTTATTTACTTCTGGCAGATCACAATTCATGTAAGTTGATTTATACTGTTGGAACTGATGATTATTATATATATTTCATATTATTAATGGATGTCACATTTTATGAATTGCTGAAGATAAGATAGTGAAAGTTGAGGATTGTTGAACCATGTTGTATGTACACTGATATAATGACACTTTATGATAAATGTGATTAACTTATTTCATTTGCATTACATGTATCATGCTTTATAAAGTAGATTATTATGCTTGAATTTCTGATAATGATGAAATGATAATTACTCTGACAAATTAAATTAATTTTAAGTTTGTCTTTATATAGATTGAAACATGTTTCTGTTAAACAAAGTCAATTAAAAGAATGACTACCAAAGAGGATTTATATATATATATATATTTGAATGTAATTACATTGTGTCATGCAGTTTTCACAAAGTCATTATTGTGAAGTAAGAATTGTTATTTTATTGTTGTTACCTTTAGGGCTGCATGTGGTGAAATCTCCTTATTTGATGAACTACACTTTCTACAATAAGGTGGAAGCTTTGTTTATGATCAGGGGTCGGACGACAGCATATAGCGTTAGTGTTGCTTCGTCGTTATAGTATTGGCCGGTGAGTGGAGTTTGGCTCTATTGTGTATAGATATATATATATGACCTAATATACATGCAATTGTAAACCGATTATTGCACGAAATGATGTAAAATGTACAATATTCTTCTGTCCTATATATGTTCTAATTAATTATGGCAACTATACTGCTACAGACAATTAAAACAGTTAAGCTACCTTTCATGATATTGCACATAATAAGAATTATTATTGAAAATTGAATAATGTATTAATTGATGACTCGTGTTGAGTTGGAAACTATTGCAATGTTTACACTTTAATTTGTTCTGTTTAATGGAAGAAAGCAAATGAAACCATGAATTGTTTGTTATTACATTTTGCTCCAGAGGCTTTATGCTAATTATATTTCGTTCAAATTTTGTTCTTGTACAGGGGCTGTGTTTTCTTTGGTGAATAAATGCAAGACTAAAGTTTACGTTGGACTCCCTAGCTGTTGTCATTTCTGAATCTCAACACTATGTTTACTTGTTTGCGCAAATAACTTCTTTATCGAACGGAAACATGATCCTGTACGTGCGTGCACAATTGCCTGCTACACATATCTTTTAATACCCACGCCTTCAGAGACAGAAAGGCATGAACTGTACGATAATATATATGAATCTAACGCCCTATTGGCTCCAACCAGACGTATCGTTTAAAATTCAATTCATCGTGACGCCTTCTAGGGTAATCAGTGATAGGGGGATAGATACGAACAAAATAATTCAGAAATAAGTTTGTTTTTATCATTCCTTTCTGCTAGCTGGATCAGTATAGTGTGTGTGTGCAATGATCACACGCAGCGGCATCGGAGCCGGGCTGTGTCCTTACTTCTTTTAAAGAGCATAATACAACCCTAGTAAAAGTTATATATGTATGAAACTTGAAGAAATATATGCAAAAATAGAATGCAGAAAGTATGAAATAACTGAACAAATGACTGAACAAAGAATACATTTATCAAATGCTTACCTTAGGCTGAATATCGATTTACACAATTTACCTGTGATTCTATAATTCTATATTCTGGATCCATCCTACTACAGGGCTATAACGCTACTCTCCATACCCGGGAAAGTTTTCTGTAGAATGGTCCTCATGAGAATACAGGGAACCATTGAGAATCATCTGACAGAGGAACAATGTGGATTCCGAATCTGTAGGGGCACCCAGGCGCGGATCCAGGATTTCTT